CTTATATGAGGTATTTGCAAAAAGAGTTAGGTTGGAAGATGCGAAGGTTAACAATATTCGTGACTAGCCATGATTCAGCTGATTAAAGCACGCTTTCATGCATCACGAGGTTCTCATGGTGTAGCCATTCATTATGACCACTAACACAAACCAATATGGCATTGGCCCAGTGCTGGCTCAACAGGAGGGGAAGAAGTTAAGGCCAATCAAGTATATGAGCAAAAAAGTGCCATCAAATAAATTACCCAAGTCGACCTACAAAAGGAAACTCTACGCCCTGTACAAAGCTCTAATCTACCTGAGACATTATCTTCTCGGCAGATTCTTCCATTTGAGGACTGACCGTCAGACGCTCAAGTGAATCAAGACACAATTTGTTCTCTCTAATGCACTGAAACGTTGGATCGAGGTCATGGATCAATATGACTTCAAGCTAGACTATGTGAAGGGAGAATGCAATAAGGTTGTTGATGCACTTTCACGAAGGGCGGACTACCTAGGTGCGCTAATTCCTGATTATGGGTTATCTGACAGATTGGCTCGATCATTGGAGGAGGCCTACGAGAAAAAAACTGTGATGATGGACATCATCCACAAGTTGCAGATCAGGGATAAGGCCATATCAAATGGGTTTGTGATGGTGGATGGGTTGCTCTTTCTTGAGAAGGCAGAATTTAAGAGTTTGTGTGCCATCTAGTGAGTCTCTGCCTATTCTATTTTCAGGAGAATATCATGGTGAGACAGGACATTACGGATACAAAAAGGCTAGCGCTAACTTAGTACAACGTTTTTGGCCGCCGGCTATGCTTGACAATGCGAAAAGTTACATCCAGACTTGTCAAGTCTGCCAGCGGAACAAGCGCGAACTGAAGCACCGCTTGGGTTACTCAAGCCCTTACCCATTCCTGCAGGTCCAAGACAATGTTTCCATGGACTTTATGAACACCCTAGTGACCAGCAAGAGCGGCAAGAGACACATTTTCGTCATAGTTCACCGGTTCACTAAGTATGCTAGACTAATTGCCATGCCTGAAACTGCAAAGACTGACCACGTCATCAAGTTACTCATGGATATCTGGGTGCGCGATTTTCGACTGCCCAAGACGATAGTAAGCAATAGAGATGTCCGGTTCACCAGCGAGATGCAGAAAAAGGCTGTTGAACACATGCGCAGCCAACTTCAAATGACGTCGGAGAATCACCCGAAGCCAACGGTGAAACGGAACAGACGAATCGCGTGCTGCAGCACCTGCTGAGGCACTACATCAAGCCCCACCAGGATCATTGGGATGAGAAGTTTCCCCTCATCGTCAGCCTGTACAACAGCCGTGGTAAGAACCTATTCTGAAGTTAAACGTGCTTACTTCTTTTATATCAATATTGAATTAGCTGTTCACATCACCACTGGCGGCAGTCTGAATGAGCTGCATTTGGGGTGGACGCCTAGATCTGCACTCGACTTCCTCCCTTCTGAAAACCGACCAGTTGCAATTTTTGGAGCCATAGAATTTGGCGTCGAGAATGAGAAGCTATTGCAGCAGGCTGTCGGGCTTATTAGAAAATCTCAGGAGGCCATGATTGCCTCTGAGAACAGACATAGACGACGGTCCACATTTCAGATAGGAGACCATGTCTGGGTAAAGGCTAGTGAGTTAGGACAGGAATTCGGCATCTCTAGAAAGCTAATGCCTCAATACTTCAGTCAGGGGCTGGACATTGTGGGTAGTGATCCGGATGGTCCCTCCTACGCGATTAGAATCCCTGGTCATCTGCATACTTACCCTGTGTTTCACACTTCCAAGCTTGCACCGTTCACTGAGACTTTAAGATCCCATCGCAGAGATCAACGCTGCCCCCAACCATGGATGGCCACGTGGACATTGACAACATTGTGGATCATCGAGATCCACCTGTTCCAAAGCCAGCTGGCAGAGGAAGACCGCCAAAACCAACACGAGACTACCGGGTCAGATTCAGGCATTAAACGGACCCAAATGAAGACCGTTGGTTCACGGAGGACGAATTGATTAAGACAACGCCTCAGGTCGTCGCAGAATATGAACAAAGATTAAAGGGGAAAACACCTCCGTAAAAGCATCTCAACGGACTTTCAAAGCTAAGGAGGATAAAACACAAGGACTTTGCCCTCACAGTGGCCACTAGGCCGCGGCCTTCCAACGCCCCACGGCACCCCCCACCCCCCAGCTAGCATGCCCGCCCTAAGTGAAGGCGGGCCTGTATTCGACATGGGGGCCCAGTTACGCCATTTCTGCATGGTGAACGCCAAACAGTTGTTACGCGCCAGTTGGTTACAGAGGCCCTGCTCGTGAGAATCAGAATCTTCGAGAAGCTTCCAGGTTCCAGGAGGCTTGTACATGGACGCAGGCCTCTCGGCCTATCAGAAAGCAGGGAACACGTCACAGGCTGCATGGGGCGGTTGGGCGCATCTCGAAGCTGCAACACGTCACAGGCTGCATGGGGCGGTTGGGCGCATCTCGAAGCTGCAAGCCCCATGCAGCCTGTGACGTGTTCCCTGCTTTCTGATAGGCCGAGAGGCCTGCGTCCATGTACAGGCACGCAGACACTTTGGCCCAACATGAAGCTACTGCGCCCCAGCCCCGCAGGCCCAGCGGAGGCCGAAGCAGGGCGCACTTTTCCATAAAGGGAAGTGCTCGCCTCTGCCCAAGGACCTGGGCGCAGACACTTTGGCCCAACATGAAGCTACTGCGCCCCAGCCCATCAGGCCCAGCAGAGGCCGAAGCAGGGCACACTTTTCCACAAAGGGAAGTGCTCGGCTCTGCCCAAGGACATTCTGGGATGGGCAGGCATCGCGGCCACGCTGCTGCATTGCCTTGCGACTTACTGCACTAGCAGGCAGGCTGGGCGCGAGCACAGGCGCTAAGAGGTGAGAGGGCGCTGCGGTGGCAGTGGGCGCACGGCAGCCATAGCCGGACTGCTGGGGCGCATTGTGGGCGACGGTGATGGTCGTCTTCGGGTAAGGAAGTGCACGCTATTGGAGACGGGGGGTGATGAGGGGAGGAGAGACACGTACCTGGTGTATGCTGGCAGTCTGCATTGGCGCCATCGTCACATACATTGGTCTTCAGCTTCAAAGTGATTCCTGTTGCATAAACTTAGATAGGCTGAGTAGTTCAGGCTGGACACTGAGCGGCGAGCGCCAAACTGGAAGAGCCGCATGCATTGGATACTATGCTGATGTGGCACGAGAGTGCCGACGTCGACATTTGTTCATTGTATTGCTCTTATTCGGCTTATATCGCAGTGCATTATGCTTTCTGCTTGGTTCTTGACTATCTGGCCTACAGCATGATTTTGCAATTTGGATTTCCGTCTATCGCTCTCGCTCATATTCCTTGCAGAGTAGAAAGATGAATCCTTATTTTTGCTGCCACCAGTCGGGTCTCAAAGAATTTCTTCGAAAGTCTCTGTGGACAGCAGTGAGGTCCATCCCTAAGGACCAGCTGGGGCCCAACAGCTGTTATGTTCATGGCGGGAAAGAATGAACTTGGCTGTAGTAATGGCCAGTTGCATGCTTTCCTAACATGAACATAGCACCCGTGGGGCTGCCGGGCCTGCTGCACCTAAGTCGTCTCCATGGCCATTGTGGGCTTCTACAGTGACATCTTATGAAGGCCAAAGAAGAACTTCAAGCTCTTCATGCGCTCTTTGCCAATAGCACCCACACTGCATGCAATGCGTCTTCTCTCCGATTGCGATTGCTGCTGTTGTATATTGCATAATACTGTGCACACTTCCCCCTACTGGAAAACAAACAAACAAACAAACAAACAAATAAACTGACAAATAGACAGACCGACTCGCACACTTGCCCCTTTTGGACAATGGCAGGCCGGTGGGAAGTGCGTATAGTTTATTCATATGTTTGTTTGTTTTCCAAAGAGGGGAATTGTGCATCTGGATGGTCATCGATCCGTCAATCCTGAATATGAACCAACGAGAATCGAAATAAAGACGTGCGTGCCCTGTTTTTTTTCTTACCTTTGTTTTTCCATCCATAAATCCAAAAACTTCACGTCTGAAAAAGCAATACGAAAGGGCCAAACAGTCTCTATTCTATTTTAATCATTCGATCAAATCCCGACGACCAATGAAAATTCCGATTCGGAGTTCCATTAGAACGAATGAAAGAAGATATGACGACGGACGGCGATCATGCCCATGCCGAACCTGGGTGCTTCTGCAGTAACGGCATGCATCTGAATGCAAAAGAATAGTGTCTTCCTTTTGTGGGAAGTCGGGCTGGGCGATACCGTCTTCAACCGACTTCGATAGAATGCGCAGTCATTATACCTGTATTTGGTGCAGTTTTAAGACGAGAACCAGTGCTAATGACTGACTGACTGTTCCCTGCAGAAAGGGAATGATAGGCCGGGCATGCATCTCTGAATGTGAAAGAAGTTAAAAGAACACACTTCATTCATCAACCCTCAACATGAACAAACGAGAACCGAAAGAAATGGTTTCACATCCCGTTTTCCTAGTCCTTCGGACATCCATCAACATTGGAGTGCTAAACACAAGATTTGCATGGCCCACGCACAGAAACAACAACAAAACAAGAAAGACGAGGAGTTCGGATCCTTAAGGGACACGGCAATCTACGGAGCTACTCCCTCACAGTGCCCACACAGACAAGAACAGACGAAAAGAAAGGACCCGTCCAGTCATGGACGTATTACGTAAAGGGGGGAGGTGCCAGCAATAGAAGAAAAGATACACACACAGCAACCAAACGCTTAGCTTTCCAAAAAGCAAGAAAGGAAAAAAAAGAAAGAGAGAAAAAAAAAAAAAAAAAAAAATAGAAAGAAACAAAAAAAAAAAAAAAGAAAAAAAAAAAGACAGAAAAAAAAAAAAAAAAAAAAAAACCAAGATACACAGAGTGAACATGAGAGAGAGAGAGAGAGGTGGAAGTGATTGCATTAAAATCCACGATTTGTCGATTCCACCATTTTGGGCCACTTTTCAGTGCGCCTTCATTGCAAGCTGAGAGAGCCTGCAATCCACTTGGGTGTGCCAGCACCGACCCCCTCCATCATTATCCCAATGCTGAGGTTGTCGGAGCTAGCAGCACCATACCATACCACGGGAAAGCCTCCTCACCTCTTTCAAGGACCTTCCACCCATACACCACTAATTAGAAACCTCACTCTTCGTTAAAACCTCCTCAGATGACGCCCCGACTTGCCGCCGCATCTTCGATAACCCTCATATATTATCTCCTCCCCCCTTCTTTCTTCGATAACCCTTACATTTTACCCCCCCCAACCGCCCCCCCTCCTTATAAACCCGGTTAAATTCCTGCAAGTCCTCTGCCATACATACTCCCCGAACGAACGAACTACATGTACATCGCATAAAGACGATACCAGAATCAATACTTGCTTCCCATTTTAGGGAGCAACAGCTATGTCAGAAATGGAGACTTCAGAAAAGATTGGTTACGATCGGAAATGCGCTGCACGGTACAATGCCCTGCAAGGCATTCACAGCATCACTCATTCTTGGGTATAGCTCACTAAGCCTTAATGTCAATCAATCAATAGCATCGACGAGAAAGGATGAACGACTTGCAAGGGTTCGCCGGAATTCCAGCCAGGAACATAAACGTCGATGGTCAGCCAAAGAAGCACCCTTCACCTCAAAACAAAAAAAGAGGCAGTAAATGGGCGCACTGCACAGAGGAGCCCCTCTTCTCTGCGAGTCGTCAGATAACCCACTCCTCTTCTCTGGGAGCGTAGTTGGGACGGCTAATCCAGTGCAAAAGCCAAAATTCCAAAACCGCATCGACAGTCCTTCCCGCACGCAATAACAACCCTTCCCCACCACCCGCCCGCTCCCCCCACCCCCGCCCACTTTTTTCGCAGCCTTGCTTGCCAGACTGCCTCGGACGAGTCGGGAGCCTTTTATCATT